CCACGGGAGCGGCTGGGTCCAGAAGAGATGGGGCTGCTCTCCCAGCATCCCAGTGCCTTCGAGCGGGTGATGCGCCTGACGCCCATGGAGCCCCCGTCCATGGACTTCTCTCGGCGTCTGAGGGAGCTGGCGGGCAACACCAACAACAACGGAGGGCCCACGCCCCCCCTGTCGCCCAACCGCGTCCCCCCCATGCACCGCCTGCTAAGTCCCACGCTCTTCCAGCCGGGCTCCAAGCCGCCGGCCTTTCTCACCTACGGCCCGCAGCCGCCCGCTCCGCAGGGCGGGCACGGTTCCTCCAGTCCCCCGGACACGCAGTCGGCGGGGAAATCCAAATCCTGCGAATTCTGCGGCAAGATTTTCAAATTCCAGAGCAACCTGATCGTGCACCGCCGCAGCCACACCGGAGAGAGGCCGTACAAGTGCCACCTGTGCGACCACGCCTGCTCCCAAGCCAGCAAGCTCAAGAGGCACATGAAGACGCACATGCACAACAAGTCCGGCTCCATGGGCGGATCCCCTGAGGCGGACAACCGAGGGGACGGAGGAGAGGGCGAAGACAAGCTCCGGGAGGCCGACGGAAGGGTCGTGGGGATGGACAACGAGGAGGAGGAGGAAGAGGAGGAGGAGGAAGAGGAGGAAGAAGAGGAGGAGGAAGAGCTGAGGAACGGGAGTCGGCCAGATTCCAACCTAAGCGAAGACTCTCAAGAGTTCAACCCCAACCGGGAAAATGGGCCCAGGCAGTCTCCCAAGGAGAAGCACCTGGGCGGGGAGCGAGTAGGCGAGAGCGGCGGGGTGGGCATCATGCACCCGTACAACCACCTTGACAATCATCTCAGACTGAACCCCAACAAGAGGAGCCTCGAGAGACAGCCCAACGGCGACGGCCCCAACGGGGGCGAGCCGGACCGAGAGGGCCAGAGCGACAGGGAGCAAGGCAGGGAGCCGGACGAGCCGGACCAAAGGCCCGTGATGAACGGCAGGATCAGCGTGTCCGAAGCCGAGTCCTTCCCGGGACTCTTCCAGCGCCGACCCACGCCCATCACCATCCCGAGCCCTTCCAACAACAACAACAAGAGGATCAAGATCGAGCGGGAGCAGTTGGAACTCCCGCCCACTCTCCCGCTCATCTCGCCGGAGAACGTCTACTCGCAGCTCCTGGCCGGGTACGCCGCCTCACGCCACTTCATCCGGGAGCCCTTCCTGGGCTTTACGGACTCACGCCAATCCCCCTTCGCCACCTCTTCGGAGCACTCCTCCTCCGAGACGGGCAGCCTGCGTTTCTCCACGCCGCCGGGGGAGCTGATGGAGGGCGGCAGCGCCTCGGGCCGAAGCGGCAGCAGCACGCCGCACCTCCTGCGAGGGCCGGGACCCGGCCGACCGCCCAGCTCCAAGGACCGGCGCAACGACACGTGCGAGTATTGCGGCAAGGTGTTCAAGAACTGCAGCAACCTGACGGTGCACCGGCGCAGCCACACGGGCGAGAGGCCCTACAAGTGCGACCTGTGCAGCTACGCGTGCGCCCAGAGCTCCAAGCTGACGCGCCACATGAAGACGCACGGCCAGTTCGGCAAGGAGGTGTACCGCTGCGACATCTGCCACATGCCCTTCAGCGTCTACAGTACGCTGGAGAAACACATGAAGAAGTGGCACGGCGAACATTTGATGGCCAGCGAGGTCAAACTGGAGCAAGCCGAGCGAAGCTAAGCGTCACGCAAACATCAACGCATACATGGACGCGCACTCATCTGCCCGACGATCTGCAAAAGTCGAATGGAGGCGACCGGACTCCTCGTGCGCTGTTCAATGCGTTTCACATTTAGTCCATCGGGCTTCTTCGATTCTCGACAGAATCTCGGTCCTTTACCCAAACCTCCCGTTTCGAATTTAAGGACACGTTTTGGATTAAAAATTGAAATATCTTGGACAGCTAAGAGGAGGATCCGGTTGCCTCGAAGCCACTTTTGCAGATGACCTTTGACCCGGATGACTGAGAGTCTCCACCGACATCTTTCCTATGACTACTTTGAACAAGGGGCATGGCTGGATAATCTCTCTCTTATGTCGAAAAAAAAAAACAAGACTGATCGGTGTTTCTTCTTCTTCTTTTTTTTTTTTTTAATTTGATTATTTCTCTTGTCGCCTGAGAATATTAAAACTTTTAAACCTTGTCCGGACACCTCTAAGGATTTTAGGAATTCCACGGAGCCTTTCTACTGTGCAATAATTTGTGTATTTATTGGATTTTTTTTTTTCTTTTTGGTAAAATTTGGCATGTGCAGATACATCTTGTGTGTTTTTTTGTTTTTTTTTTTAAATGTGCTCAAATTTTTTTAAATGATTTAAAAAAAAAAAGTTTAATTTCTAATCGGAAATTGGAAAGAAGTCGCCCTTCGGAACAATGATAATAATCCAGTTTTGTCCTCTAAGGAAAGTTATTATCATGCGAGTGAGTAAATGATGTTTTCTATATGCCAAGTGCAGCAGCGGACTACAATCTCGCCCCCCCCCTCCCCCCCCAGCACTGCTCAATGTCAGCCTGCCAATAATTGATTTTTGAAAAATTAATTTATAGAGGGACAAGGCGCGCTGAAATACAAGCAAACACAGTTGCTGCGTTTGCTGTCGACCAGGACGTAAAACAAACAAACAAAAAAAAAAAAAAAACAGGTTGCACTTAATGCTTTCGCCCATGTAGGATTGAACCACCATATTTAATATGTCTGCTTGTTAAGTTAAGACTACTTGTGATTCATGTGAGAGGGGAACAGTCCCGTTTATGTAAATATATTACTTTTTCTGTTAGTTAAAAAAAAAAAAAAAAATTGAAAAAAAAAAAAAAAAAGAAAATATACGCCCCAACTGTTTTCCGAAAGAGGCGGCCTAAAAACAATCAAGAAGACCAGCTGCTTGTGTCGCCATTGTGTGTGTGTGTGTGTGTGTGTGTGTGTGGATGCATAAATGGGAGTTATTGCCTCAGGCCCCTCCCACCTCCTCCCGCCTTCAGCCGCAGGTCAAATTTAGTTATTTTAAATAGTTTCACGTAGGGGGGAAAAAAACAACTCATTTTATATATTTGCAACAAAATTGATTCCAGTTAACGTTTGCGACACCATTTTGGGATATTTACACATTGAACGCGTCCAATTGATTTGTTTTCAATTAGGAACAGTGTTTTATTGGTGCAAAATGTTTTCTGCTTGGCTTAGTAAGTGTCAGGCAAATCCAACCCCCCCTCCCCACCACCTCCTGTCACTTTGTGGGAACATTCACAGATGCCGGGTCAAATTGAACCATTTTCATCAACCGTTAAAAGCGACTGTTCGGTTTCAAACTTCTGCTTCGCTTCAGTGTCCTCGACGATGACAATTGGTAATTTCACCCCAAAATCAAACCGTTAGTGATGACACCTTGAATTAAATTCACTCCGGGTCAAATTGACCCACTTGTAATTGTTGGAAGTCGTTTCCCCGATACAAAACGTTAATTTTAAATAGCTTGAGAAGCGCAGCGGGTCATTTGACATATTTGCAATGAAAGGATTACGAATACAAAAAAATATATCGATATAGAATAAATTATTTCACACAACTTGCACACGCCCCCGAGTCAAACTGACCCAGTAACATTTTTTTTTTTGAGCGGCATTGGCGGCGGGACCTTGACCAGGCACACAAGAGTCATTCAAATCAAATTGGAAGCATATGAAATGTGTTTTTTCTTTTTTTTGGAGGGGGGGGGGGGCTGGGCCGCGTCTTCTTTTCGGGAGGGAGGGAAGACAGCGAAAGCCACATGAAAGCAGCGCACGCCATATTTCATTATTAAGAATAAATAAATAAATAAGTAAATGTCCTCGTCTTCATTTGTGTTCCAACAGGGGGAAGGAAAAAATAAAATAAAAAAATTTAAATCCCTGAATTTTGATCAGGAATTCACACGATAACGTTTACAAAAGTAGGCCATACATGAAATGTACTTGCTTCATGCAAATAAGTATTGTTTCCTCCCTTTTTTTTTTTTTTTTTTGTATGCTGGTGGAGGGATTTGAAAAGTTACACAATCATGCCAGAATGAGGTGCCATGTTTTTTTTTTTTGTAAAGCGACTGTTCGGTTTCAAACTTCTGCTTCGCTTCAGTGTCCTCGACGATGACAATTGGTAATTTCACCCCAAAATCAAACCGTTAGTGATGACACCTTGAATTAAATTCACTCCGGGTCAAATTGACCCACTTGTAATTGTTGGAAGTCGTTTCCCCGATACAAAACGTTAATTTTAAATAGCTTGAGAAGCGCAGCGGGTCATTTGACATATTTGCAATGAAAGGATTACGAATACAAAAAAATATATCGATATAGAATAAATTATTTCACACAACTTGCACACGCCCCCGAGTCAAACTGACCCAGTAACATTTTTTTTTTTAAATCTCGGTCGCTGACAATGTAAAGTAACAGAAGCCACTGCCTGAAAATGAACGAAGGGGGCAACGAAATATTCACACTGACACAATCAAAGATTGGATAGAAGTTATGATAAGATTGAGCACATTTGGCTACGTGACCTTGAACGAGCCCCCCCAACCCAACCCCCCGGGTAACCC